CTATGAAACCAGTTAAAGGTTATAGATATGTTAAATAAACATTCCAGAGGTTAGCTGCAAAACTATTGCTATGCAAAACATCTCTCAATGGCCCTGGCTCTATTTGTGTCTTCCCCCTGGGGCGGGGGCGGGGGGCGCGGTGAGGACATCTTATATGTCTCTCCAATATTCCTATACACTTTGAATTCTGGACACCATTCCAAATCTTTTTGCCCCCCCCTTTGGCTGCACCCTGTATCATTCCTGCCTCACTTTTTTCCATAGGAAGAACCCTTTGTTCCTTTCACTGGACAAAGGGTGTGAACTATCCCGCACTGAAAAGGAAAGATGGAAGCTGTTCCGTTGGAGGGCAGGCTTCCAAAGACCAGAGATGTCCCACTGAAGTCTAAGTTGAAGCACCTCTGCTGGGGCCCCCTACAACCTTTTATGTGTACAGTTAGTTTTTCTCACTTTCAGGGATTCTCTTTCTTCATTTGTCTATAGTTTTATTTATTAAAAATGTTAACAGAAAATTTTAGAATTACATAGAAGAAAATGATATCATGAGCTTTTAATCACTGTAACCCAGCTTTAACAATTAATAACATTTGGCTAACCTTATTTCATCCTTTTCCTTCCACTTCTGTTAGTGGTGGTGGCAAAGTAATTTAAAGCAAATTTGACATTATGTCATTTTACCGATAGATAGTTCAGAAACTAACATACAAGGATTTTTAAAGACATAACCTTACCCCAAGGCCATTATCATCCCTAATAATATTTCTGTCATGTAATTTTTAAAGAAGGTTTTATTTATTTATTTCTTAGAGAGGGGAAGGGAGGGAGAAAGAAAGAGAAAAACAACGTGTGCTTGCCTCTCACATGGCTCCACTGGGAACCTGGCCCGCAACCCAGGTATGTGCCCTGACTGGCAATTGAACTGGTGACCCTTTGGTTTGCAGGCCGGTGCTCAACCACTGAGCCACACCAGCCAGGGCTGTCATGTAATTTTAATAATACCCAATTCCCCCATGCTCAAATCCTCCCCATGGTCTAAAAATTGTCCTACAATTGGTTTGTTTAGGTTATAATTGAACAAGATTCACATACTGCATTATTTCCTAAGTCTCTTTTTATCCATAACTATTTCTTCTTCTCCCACCTTTTAAAATTCCAGTTATCTGTTGGGGAAACTGGGTCATTTATTGCATACACTTTCCTATCTTCTGTATTTGGCTGATTGCCTCCTTGTCCAACTTGTTTCTGTATCTCTTCCCTGTATTTCCTGTAAACTGGTCGCTAGATCTCCAGGCTTGATTAGGTTCAAGTAAACCTTCTTTGGCAAGAACACGTCCTAGGTAGTGCTTTGTACTTCTTATTGCACCTCATCGGGAGGCCTCTGATGTCCCATTTTCAGTGATGAGCTAGATCAGCTGATTTGGCTGTTGAGTGACAGTTCTCCACGGGGCTCTGCCTTCCTTATGTTTCGCAAGAAGAGCTTTTGAGTGCTTTGTCTGCGCTACCTTCTCAAGGTTGTTTGTGTACGGAAGCAGTCTTAGAAGAAAGAGATAGTGTCTCTCACTGGAGTAAAGGACAGATAAGCTCACTAGACAGTATAAAATATCAGAATCCTCTAAGCTTGGGGGTTACTTCTTCTAAGCAGCCCACTATGTGTGCAGGGTCATCCGACCCTCTTTGTTCGAATTGAGGCTCAGGGAACCAGTGTAAACATGATAATACCCTGGCCACTGCTATTGCTGTAGCAATCAACTGTCTTTGGTCTCTGTATTAGTCCAGATTCTCCAGAGAAACACACACACACACACACACACACACACACACACACACACACACACACACACAGCTTTACTGTAAGGAATTGGTGATTAGGGAAGCTGGGAAGGCCAAGATCACAGCAGTCAGCAAGCTGGAGACTTGGAAGAACCAATGAATTATGTTCCAGTCCAAGTCCAAAGGCCTAAGGAGCAAGAGAGCTGAATAGGGTAAGTTTCAGTCTGAGTCCAAGTCTGAAAGCCCAATGTCCCAGCTCAAACCCAGTCAGGAGAGAAGGAATTGTTTGTTATTCAGCTTTTTATTCTTTTCAGGACTTTGCTAGATTGGATGAGGCCCACCCGCATTAGGGAGGGCAGTCAGTTTTCCTCATCTTACTGATTCAAATGTTAATGTCATCCAGAAACACCCTCACAGACACGCCCAGAATACTGTCTGACCAAATATCTGGGCACCCTGTGGCCCAGTCAAGTTGACACATAAAATCCACCATCATAATCTCTGACCCAGTATCTGTATCATCTATCAGCTTCCATGAAACTGTGGCAGGTTAATTTGTTAGTTTACAAGTAGAATAAAATCTCGGACCCTTCACAGCTCGTGATATATTCTTAAAAAACACAATGAAAATATTGGTCAGTGGGCTCCGGTGGTGCCAGCCTACTCTCTTCATTACAAAACTTCCATTAGCTTTTCCCTTAAAGATTTTAGCATCAATGGATGTTTATTGCTTAGAGCCATTATTCTTATTAGAAGTTACAAAGTGGTGTCACTCTAATGCTACCATTCTGTTTGCATTCATTAGTAGGACTCTTTCTACAAATAATTTTCTCTTATCAATATTTGATTATGCTAAAATCTAATTTATACAGGAAAGACAGGATTAATTTCTAGTTCTTTCCCATTAGTTATTTAAGAATTTTAAGAAAAATGAGTTGGTGTGGTAGAAATTTCCCAAGTAATCAGTATACTCATCTTTTGAGTGTTATTATGAACCAATAAGTTTTTACATATTTCATATTTCAATTCAGTAAAGTTGTTTGTTTTTTTTTATGCTCAAATTGTCCCATCTTTGATTAGTTGGAACCCCTTCAGATGGCTACTGTAAACTTGAAAGATGATCACAATAGTATTTGATACTCTTATTGCTTTCCTGAATAACAAAGCGGCCCACAATTACCTTGTTGTACGTTTATACTGTTTACTGGAATCAGTCATTTCTCCAAGAAGTCCTGATTCCTTACAGCTCACTTATATCTGTGCCAAGCAAGGTGTGTTAAGTCAACCCTGCAGTGGATTGACCAACCACTGTAGAATTAGATGACTACAAGGGATTTCAGAAATCCTCTGGGCCAGCTTCGCTTCGCCCTTAGACAAATGGACAGAATGTTATTTGTCAATATTTACAGGGAAGATCCTAGCCTGCAGAGTAGAGGAAAGAGTTGCAGGGTTGACTAACACATTCTGCAGGGGAAATAGGGATAAGGAAAAGACTAAAAATGTGAATGGGGAAGGGAGAACGAGTAGTGGAACAGGCCCTGCCCTCAGAATTTGGTGGATGATGCATCTCGGCCTGAGACGCTCACGGCCTGGTCTGCAAGGGATCACCACATAATAACTGGGGATGGCTTGGTGTGTCTGTCTTTAGGAGATCCCAGCCTATTAGTAATTAGATAGTATTCTAAAGACTTGGTATTCTCTTTATAGCCTATTTTTAGGGCTGCCTCTGAAATACTAAGCCAGGAAAGAAGCCAGAAGCTAGATAACAGAAACTTTGCAAAGAATCGTGGAAAAAAACCTGAAGCCAGCTCAGAACAAGAGAGAAGGTCAGGGCCAGATCTGCTGACCTGTTTTCCAGGAAAGGGTCGTAAGGAAGGGCTGGCAGTGACTCACACCCCAGGGAGGAAAGCCGGGGTGTCAGAAAAAATGCCTTCACTGTCCCCGGTGCCTTGTGATTACTAAAAATGAAACAAAACAAAACAAAAGAAATTTCCTAAAACTAAGCAGTACCTGTAATGAGAATGGTCAGCACAGGGCCTTCAAATAAACGGGAACACTGAATACTGTTTGATCTTTGTGTGGGATCTTTGAGTCTTGCATCCTCTTCACTATAGAATTTTTAAAATAAAACATTTTTAAATCCTTTACATTCTGTTGGAAAATAGTTGCCTGCATTACGCATGTGTTGCTGACATTGAATTATGGTTGTTAGCAGTGTTCTGAGAGCAAGGCACTTCAGCAAAAGGTCAGCAGGTGGCAAGCTTCTACAACCTCAGGCTGAGGAAGGCCTGTAATGGACAGACCTCATTCAAAGGCATGGGATCTCTTGCAGTATCTCCATCGGCTGAAAGGATCAGCCAAATTCTGAGGGCAGGGCCTGTTCCACTACTCGTTCTCTGCTCCGGCCCGCGGAGCAATCAACTGGGGCTCGACCACCTACCTAGAACAAATGAGTTGGGGGGACAAGAGGTACGAAGAATGGCAGCAAAAGATTCTGATCAAGCTGCAAACTTTATTTTTCCGAACTGGGTATATATATATAAAAAAAAAAAAAGGGGGGGAGGGAGAGGAAGGAGATTAGGTTGCTTGCTATTGGCTAGCTTGAGACAAAGAAGGGCCCGCTTATTGATTACTTGGGTGCAGCTGGTACTCGTGGACACCTCATGTGCCTGTACATTGGCTTTGCGCGCACCATGTGCCTGTAGCCCATTGGCTTTGTGGAGCGCACAGGTTCCTGTAATCAATGCAATGTTTTTAGCTAGAAGCCAGGTGTAAGGTTCCCAACAGTTCTCCCTTCCCCATTCACATTTTTAGTCTTTTCCTTATCCTTATTTCCCCTGCAGAATGTGTTAGTTGACCTTGCAACTCTTTACTCTGCAGGCTAGGATCTTCCCTGTAAATATTGACAAATAACATTCTGTCCATTTGTCTAAGGGCGAAGCGAAGCTGGCCCAGAGGATTTCTGAAATCCCTTGTAGTCATCTAATTCTACAGTGGTTGGTCAATGCACTGCAGAGTTGACTTAACACACCTTGCTTGGCACAGATATAAGTGAGCTGTAAGGAATCAGGACTTCTTGGAGAAATGACTGATTCCAGTAAACAGTATAATACTGCAAGAGAATTATTTTTTAAATTATAATAAAATTAAATAATTTTAATTTAAAATTATTTTTTCACTCTCAGATGTTTTTCCTTTTAAAAAAGTTTTATTTTTTAATTACAGTTTGCATTTAATATTATTTTTTATTAGTTTCAGATGTACAATGTAGTGGGGAGTCATATACTTTACAAAGCAGCCCCCCTATATTTCAAGTATCCGCCTGGCACTGTACGTAGTTCTTACAGTATTACTGACCAGATTCCCTATGCTGTCCTTTACATCCCCGGTGCTGTTTCGTGACTAGCAATCTGTACTTCTCAGTCCCTTCCTGTTTTTCACTCCCCTCAATAGTGACATCCCTTACATGCTCTGAAGTCTGCCTTGTCGAACAGTAATGTGGACACTCCCGCTTGCTTTTGATTAGTGGTGGCATTCTGTGTCGTGTTCGTCTTTTTACTTCGAACTTTTTTATGTCATTATAGTTAAAGTTTGTTTCTTGTAGATAACGGATTTGGTTCTTGCTCATTTATTCAGTCTAACCATCTTTGTGGGTTAAATTTGTGAGCTTGGTATTTGGATCTAGTTTTTCTTCTTCTCTTTCGTGTGCCATTTTCCTCTTTTTCTGACTTTTTTTTTTGCATTGAATAATTGTTATGATTTGATTTTACCTTCCCTTTGGCTTATTAGCTATTCCTCTTTTATTTATTTTTGTGTGTGTGTGGTTGCTGTTGGGTCTATAGTACATTACTTAAGCATATCACAATCTACCTTCAGGTAACACTAAGTGAGCCCATGACTTACAATTGCACATTTGTCTTTGTGCACTGGTGTATTTATTCTCACTGCATAAAGTCTAAGAAGTGGTTTGCAAAAGCTGTTGATTTTTAAAATGTATCTCTTTCATCCAGATACTTATTTAATTCCATTTTGAACTCTAAAAGTTTTTCAGTTGATTTGTTGGGTGGTCTTGTCTGGTCATCACATCGTCTGTGAATCATCGTGAATTTGTCTTCCCAGTTCCATAGTTAGGTACTGCTGGCTTTTGTTGCATGTCTCATTGAACAAATCAGACTTCTAGAACCACAAAAAATATCTCACTTTATTTCTAATTCTAACAGGAATACTACTGCTGGTTAACGAACACATATCAGCAGTTACTGTGTGTCAGGCACTGTTCTTTTTTTCTTTAAGATTTTATTTATTTATCTTTAGAGGGGAAGGGAAGGAGAGAGGGAGAGAAACATCAATGTATGGTTCATGCATCCCCTGCTGGGAACTGGCCTGCGGGGAACCGGCCTGCAACCCTGGTATGTGCCCTGACTGGGATGTCAGGCACTGTTCTCAGTGCTCCGCCTGTATGATCTACTTTCACCGTCACAACACTGTAAGGTCATTGTCTCCAATTCACAGCGAGGAGACTGGCCAGAGAGGTTCAGTAACTGACCTAAGAGGAGAAGCAGAGAGCTGGGATGTGAACTCTGGCTCTAGAGCCTGTTGATCTTTATCTCCCAACTGGTGTGCTGGTGTTTAACATCCAGCTCTCTGAAGATGAGCTCTGGTTTGTCACATTTGCCAGTTTTCATGGTGTAAATACTCCACCGTGGCTGACGTGGCATCACTGAGCATGGACGGGTTCAGGGACAGCGCCTCATAATTCCTCTTGGAAGCTGGAACTCTTGCCAGTTCCTGTGCACCACAGCCTTCAGTGTTAACGCCATTAGGTAAGCAGGTGGTGGTGTTTAAGATAATTAGTTATTGCAATTCTTTGGTTTTAAGAAATCAGCTGGAGCTGGCCCAAGCAGAAAGTGGAATTTACTATAAGAATATAGTCTCAGAATAGGGGGCAGGGGGTCCTTGCGAGGGTGGTGGGCAGCAGATGAGGAGCAGATACACTGGGGTCCTCACTGGGTGCCTGGTCTCTAAGTTTCTCTTTACTACAGGTCAGCGTTCTGGCATCTCTGGCCCATAGGCAGAAAGCCACTGCCCATCACTCCTGAATGCTCTTTCTCACCGAGGTTCCTGCCACCAGCAGAGACTGATGTCTTCTCTGACTGGCTCTATTAGGCCAAGAGTCAGGTCCAGGTCAGTCGGCTGTGGCCATGCAACTTCAGTGGGTCCGTTTGGCACTGTTCGTGATCTATCGGAGATGTCAGCCTGTGGTAGGACCAGCCCCTCCTGTCTCTGAAGTTCTGTCACACTGAAAACCTACCTTTGTACTGTGGTTCCCTGGGCTCCTCACCATTTGGGTCCTGATGACTTTTCTGACATATGTCCTCCCTGTCAATTTTTTATTTACTCACTTTGGCATCCTGGCCTTCCCATTGGCCTTTGAATATTACAAGCTCCTCTCACCTCAGGGCCTTTGTACATGCTCTTCCAGTGTCCTTCCACTGGTCTTCTCATGGCTCACAGCCTCCCTTCAGTCAAGTCCCTCCCCCAGAGAGTTTTTTTCCTGCACATTCTTCCTGAAACCGTCTCTTACCTGCTCTATTTGTCTTCATTATGCTCATATTATCTGAAATTGTATCATGTATTCGACTGCCAGCTCACGTCTCTCCACTGGACTGTAACCAGTGGGTGCAGGGACTTTGTCTTGTTGATGGCTGTGTTTTCAGCCTGTTGTAGATACTCAAACTCTATCCTTTAAATGCATGCTTAAGTGAATGAATGAATGAGTTGCGGACATATTGTGAGGTATACACTCAAACATACACCTTAACTATTGACTTTATTTTCAAATGGGTTTTGCTATTGTGTCTGGAAAAAAATAGTATTTCTTTAAAAATGAGATGTAATTCAGATTTTTAATGGTCTGACCCTCCCTAATCTAGTCCTTAATGTACTTCCTCCCCGGCCCTGCCTGCAGTATTCTAAATAAGTGAGGTTTTACAATGATATGTGGAAATGGGCTTTTGTTGTTCATCTGATGCAGGAAATAATTGACATTAATTATGATTTGATGATCTGTATGTTTTCCTGGTAAGAGAGGGAGTGGCCTGAAGAGCTGGTGTTCTGTTTTCTGCTTTTAAAGATTTCGTGCAAGCAGAAAACATTATCCATTTGTTCATAAAACTCTCTCATGGATGACTGCTGCACGAGTCATCTTTCGTTAAACCCAGGTAAAGTGACTCAGAATTATCATCAAGATAGGTAGATGAGGAAAAAACGGTTCCCTGCCTGAAAAAAATTGAGAAAGGCATGTTTCCAAAAGTATGCCAAAAAAAAAAAGAATTTACCTTTCTTATGAAAAATGCAGAGCAAGAAGGAAAATATTATATTCACAGGAGAAAGCACACATTTGGCCATTGACAAGCCTGTTTTCTTTCTAAAGGTAAGGAGATATTCAGCTGAAGAAAATTGACAACTTTGCCTCCAGGCTGAATTTTATAGTTTTTTACTATCATGATTGATTTTCCTTTGCAGCTGACACACTCTGATAGGGTTTCAAGAAATATTGTGAACTGTGGCATTCTCATTGGCATGCACACAGGTCTAGCTCTTGTGTCCCAAGGCAATGTCTAATTCATGCCCTCCATTTAGATGTATCTATTCAAGAGCTTTTGGGGAAAATGTTCTTTCTTTGCTGTATAATCAACCTTGTACATTTCAGACTCTTGGGCAATGATGGAAATGAGAATGAACAACTGCACAGCTGGAGGGAAGCAAGTGCCTCTCTAATTAACTGGTTAACACATAAATTAATGAATTCAACAAACACTTAATAACAAACTCTGCACCCGATGTTGCTCTAGGATGCAGGCACATCACCGGGAGGAGACGTGGTCCATGCCCTCACGTAGCTCACAGGCCAGTGAGCAGATCCTAGAAAGAGGCGTTGTCCAATTTCAGGTCACAGACCAGTGGGAGGAAGTCATGCTTAAGCTCAGCTATCTCTGGCACTGGGAGTTGACCACCCCACTTAATTTTAAGCCTTTCAGATAAGCCATAATATTCATTATGAATTGGTTGGGCTCTTCTCTTTTCTCAAGGATTTTACTTTTTCAAGAAGGGTGACTGGTCAAACCATTATGTATATCCTTGTAGGAAATATGCCTTTACCTGCCACAGAAAGAGGAAGAATACTTTTTGCAACGAACTGGGAGTAACTATGCCCAGGGATCATCTAATGACCTTTTGTCCTTGGAAGAAACATGTATGACTGTCTCCTGACACAGCAGTCCTTTTATGTTCTGAGTGACTGATCTGAATGCACGTAAGGTCAAATTAAGCAGGTGTTTCCCTCTCTATTTTTTTCTGGAGGGGAGGAGTTTTCTAAATAAGACTTAAAAGGATGTTTTTGTTTCGCTTTGTTTGAAAGTTTTACTAATATCTTAGAATTTTCTGGATGGCATAAAAGTATTTTTAAAGTATGCTTAAAGTAAACCCTAATTTTACACAAAAGAAGCTCTTAAAATTACCTAAAAACATCTAATTTAAAAAAATTTATTCATTCATTTTTAGAGGGAAGGGAGGGAGAGAGAGAGGGAGAGAAACATCAGTGTGTGGTTGCCTCTCACATGCCCCTCAATTGGGAACCTAGCCTGCAACCAAGCACATGCCCTGACTGGGAATCCAACCAGCAACCTTTCAGTTTGCAGGCTGGTATTCAGTCCACTGAACCACACCAGCCAGAAATAAAAAAATCTAACTTTTATAAATGAAGTAATTTTTGGACTGAACATTTTAAAAGTCCTTTTAGTTTTGAAGAGTTCTAAGATCTGCCTCATACTAGACATTACTCCACCTCTTTCCTGCAGCCACTCTGTTATGAGATGATAGAATTGCTAACTCACAAAAAATGACTTGAGCTTAGCCTCTAATGTAGCATTAGTATGACTTTTCTTTAAAAACTCATATCAAATCTACTCTTTCATCTCTTTGATTTATAAGATCTAATTTGCTTTTTTTCCCTTTTTCTTTTTTTTGTTTTTTTTGCTTTTAAAAAATATGGTGTGGGGGGCCCCAGCTGGTGTGGCTCAGTTCATTGAGGATGGGCCTGTAAACCAAAGGGTCAGTGGTTTGATTGCCAGTCAGGGCACATGCCTGGGTTGCAGGCCAGGTCCCCAGTAGAGGACACATGAGAGGCAACCACACATTGATGTTTCTCTCCTGCTCTTTCTCCTTCCCTTCCTCTCTCTCTAAAAATAAATAAATAAAATCTTTTAAAATATCTGGTGTGGGGGCAAATGTCAAAGGTAGACCCCAATGAACCCCACTTTGGAATTCACACCCTTTTTCATTGACTGTGATCTGACCAGTGAGTTGCTTCAACCAACAGAATGTGGTAGGGGTGATGCTGAGCCCATTCCATGATTACTCGCTTCTGCTTCCTCCTCTTGGAACATTGATTACTCCAAACATTTGCTGTTGGGAGCCCTGGGCTCCTGACTCACTCACTGCCTTGGGGAAACATGCGCAGAGACCTCTGAGACCATATGGAGAAGGAATGAAGCCCAGCTGTCTGAGTGTCCTGGTCGAACCCTAGCTGCTGGCTGACTTCAACTACATGAAAGATTCAAAGGAGAGTGCAGAAGAACCACCCAGCCGAGCCCCGCAACACACAGAAAAGTGAAACAATATATAGCTGTTGTTTAAGCCCCTAAGTTTTGCAGCAGTTAGCTATGCAGCATGATTAACAAAATACATCACACTTCTTAACCATAAGGCTCCAAATAAAAGGAAAGTGAGTTGGTTTCCTCAGAATAATTCATATACTAACTTGAAGAGTTTTTACAGGACAGTAAGTATTCAGTGCACTGAGTATCTTGGTTAGTGAAGAGCATTCTTATTCTAGATCATAAAACTCATCAAAAACAGAGATCCTCTCTGTCCTGGTCCTCACCAGGGCTTGTGGTTTCTTCTTGACAGTCCCCAGCTCCTCTGAGTCGGAGCCGGAACTGTCCCAGAGAAGCTGTTCCCGGGCCCCTTGTTCGTAGGGCCGTGTCTCCGTCTTGCCGATTTTCTGGGGACAGTCATCCCTCCTTGCTTGATGCTCTAAAAATTCCGCGTGCTGTGGATTTTCTACAAAAAGTTAAAAGTTTATTTAATTTATTATTTCCTGACAATATTGTATTTGTTTAAGTGCTGATGTTTTTATGAACACAGAATAATTCGTTTGCCATTTAAAAAATATGTATAAAGGATTCCAACTGGGAATGTATTATAGATGTTTTTCTTTTTATTTTGGTAAAAATTAAAATGATCTGGGAGTCACAAGAATAGTGTAACATGTACTTGTATACTCCAACCCACCAACAATATTTTATCACAATAATGATATATAGTGACTTGTATTGTAGTATGTACATAGAAACACACACAGACATATTGTTACTTTTCAGTAGAAACACTTGAGAATTAGATGCAGAGTCACTTCCCTGCTCCACATACATCACCGCAAACCTCCTAAGAACAAGGGCAGGAAGGAGAAAAGAAGAAAGAAGAAAAGGATAGGGGATTGTTCTTGAATTAGAAAAGACAGAGGCAAGAAAAATAAATGCAACGTATGATCCTGGATCTTAATAAGAAAGCACAAATGGGGAAACAAAAAGTAGCTATAAAGGGCGTTATGAGGACAACCACAGATATTTATATATGGACCATATATTAGAAAATAGTGTGTTTCAAAGTTAAAACTTTTAAGTGTGATAATTGTATTGTGGTTATCTTGGGAAGTTGCTCTTGTTCTTAGGAGGTAGCTTTAAAATGCTAAGTAAATAGTAGTACAGGTGTCCAGATAAGGCCGGAATTGGGAAGGTACCATTAAAGTAATGTATTTAGGGTGACAGTTCCTGTGAAGCATCTCGTTATTTTCACTATTACATATAAGTTCCATCTGTCTTCAGTTCTGTCTGTATTCCCATGCCTTTAATGACACATTTCATATGTGCTTTTACTCATATTTAGATTAATTTTTACACAAAACCTACATGGTGACATGCGTTGTATTTCCAGTTTACAGATGTGGAAACTGAGGTTTGTGAGAGGTTAAATAACTGGAGTTTACCTACAATCTGTTTATATACAGGGTAAACCCATGTAGACAAATATATAGCTAATATTTATAGAGAGGATACTGTGTCCCAGGCACTGTTTTAGGAACGAGAGGGGACCCCTGCTTCCATAGAGCTTACATTTAGTAGCTACACTGTTGGGGTTCCAATGAAAGGCTTTGGCTCCAAGTCCATGGCTTTTTCTACCCACTATATTCAATTCAAAGCTTCTGGAAAGGGCAGCAGCCTCATAAACATGCTAACACTCATAGAATTGTGAGCCTGAAAGAGTGATGTTCACTTTGTAAAAGTTATAAATTGTTTTGTATATACATACATATAATTTATTATATAAATATATGCAAAGCATGGGCAATTCATTTTAAAGAGGCAGCAAAAAACAAAGACTGGTTTTTGGTTTTGTATTTCACAAGAGACCTGAACTCTCACCCCATCATCCAAAAGAGGGGACAAGAATGGGCAAAAATAGCATTCAATAAGAGGAGATGGGTACAGAGGAATCTTAATGAGCTGAATCTGACTAGCAGAATGCTCATGTAAATCTATGATCTTGGCTACACTCCACTTTTAGGAGAAAGCAAAGTGACCAGCTTTTAGAATACAGGGAAATAAATTAAAAACTCTCTTTGGGAATAAATAAAAAGGAATCATTGCTTCAGCATACGACAACTGCAGTGGTGAAATCTCTAGACTTTGCAGAGGGCAGCTCTTGAAAGATAAAGTTGAAGAGTCCCAACCTCTATATTTGCAGACTTTCCCGAGGTGGTCCTGGACGGAGCTCCAAGTCCCTGGAGTCCTATGAGACTGTACGAGGGGGTGGGTGGAAGAGCGTGCTCGGGATCAGAGGGACCTGGCCTTGAATCTTGGCTCTGTCATGTGGGGGCTAATAGTAACTCCTCCCATATAGGTTGTGTGAGGATTGAATACAATAATGCATTTAAGGGCAGACCACAGTGCCTGGCTTATAGTAAGCACTCGATAAACCTTTGCCAGAGCAAAATGAAACAGCTCTAAAAAGCATGAGGGGAGCAGAGGAAACCCCCCTTCACCTGGTGTCACAGTCTCTCCTATGCCCCCCAATCTGAGGCATCTTCCAAAGGCTATATCCATGTTGGTTTTCTTGGCCTGATCCCAAGCGATGAGTATAAATGTCTAACTATTGCTGGGGCGCTTGTCTTGATTGTTTTGCCACTATTTTTTTAATTGTAAAAGTTGTTTCTTTACATGACTACACAGCATATTTCATTCTGGGACTTGGGTATAGGTTAAACAGATGCCTTCCATAGATTTTCAATTATTTATCTTTTTCTTGTTTAATGAGCTTATTGATTAGGCATCTCATTCCTCTGAGCAGGAGCAATATCTCTTTCAGCTGGCTATTTTGCTTCTTAGACGCCCAAGACCTCCAGACACATGGCCAGCATTTCGTTGGAGCTCTTGGTGGTCAGTCTGGCCGGGGGTCTGGCCCACAGATCAGGAGTGGGGACTGCGTGTGAGAGTGGCAGGAGATGAAGCTGGGAAGGGAGCTGAGACTTTGTCTTCAGGGTGATGGAGGCTCATTAAAGGATTTTTTTAAAAACAAGACAGTGAGTTGGTCAGACATGCATTTTGTAAGACTACTCCACTATGGGTGCATTACTTCTAGAACTTTATTGTGTATGAGAATCACTTTGGAATCTTGATAAAATGCAGGGCCTGACTCAGTAGGTCTGGGGGTGGGGCCTGAAATCCCACATTTCTTTCTCTCTTTTTTTAAATTTTATTTATTTATTTTTAGAGAGAGGGGAAGGAAGGGAGAAAGAGAGAAACATCAATGTGTGGTTGCCGCTCACATGGCCCCTACTGGGGGCCATGCCTGCACATGCCTGCAGACATGTGCCCTGACTGGGAATGAACTGGCGACCCTTTGCTTTGCAGCCCCAATCCACTGAGCTACACCAGGTAGGGCCCACATTTCTAATAAACTCTCAGGTGATGCAGACTCTGCTGGTCTGCGGACAGTACTTTGATTACCAAGTAGACCAGTGGTTCTTAAACTTCAGGGACATCAGAATCACTGGGGTGGAGGTGTTAAACCCAGATTTCTGGGCCCCACCCCTGCAGTTTCTGATTTGGTCACTCTGGCCAGGGCCCTAACAAGTTCCTAGGTGATGCTGGTGCCAGTGGTCTGGGGACCATGCTGAGAACCACTGGAGTGGAGGGCTGATGTGAAAGGGTGAGAACCTGAGTGAGGATCCCAGTCGGGAGGCTGTAGCCACAGCCCTGGTATGACACGGTGACCCAAGGGTGACATAGGGAATGGGAGAAAGAGGGCAGATTTCAGCACTGGGTGACATCAACAGGACTTTGTGACTGACCAACTGCAAGAGGAGGGAACAGAAGGGCTGGAGAGGCCCCAGGTCTCTGAGTGACACGGGGCATGGAGGCCTCCCTGAGACAGTGGACGCAGCAGGAGCAGGCTTGGGCTCTGTTTTAGACGTTCCAAGTGTGCTGGAAGGGGACACTGGGCCGGGGGCAACCTTGTCTGCATAGGGCGCCAGGTTGGCTGATACCAATTAGCCGTTTAATATTTTCTCCACATGCTTCATTCTCTCTCACCACAAGATGAGGCTCTTTTGCCTTTTTTCTCCTACAGATGGAGGAAGGATTGCCAATAGTGCATATAAAGTACAGTAAACTTCTAAATAGAAAGAAACGTCTTATTGCAGTGCTTAAACTTCTGTGTTTTCTTCTTGGCCCTCCAAAATTACATAATACACCCACTATATCCTGGGAGGTAAAATATCAGCAGGGACCCAAGGCTATTTGCTGGCCTTTCCCTCTGGCCCCCTAGAAGTATATCTGATGCTGTTTTAAACACCCAAATGAATATTTTATTTTACTGAAACAATTTACATGACTCACCTGCACTTGGGTTGAAGGTTTCATCGGGCAACAAGGTTAGAAAATCACCATCCTCATTTCTTGGGATGCCGTGAAGGAGTTTCTTGGCTTTATGTTCCCTCAGTCTCTCCTTATTAATCCTTGCCTCCCTGTGCAGACTTTTCTTCAACTCTGCTTGGGTCTGAAAATGATTTGTTATAGATGGTTAAAGTTCTTCCTCCCACTTCCACCCCCAGCTACTTTCAGCCACTCTGCAAGTTGGGTACTTATCTATAGACCTCCGTGGTCCCCTACTCAGAGCATGGTTCCCTTTTTCCTGTTAGAAGGCACAGAGACATTCTTTCTGCACGGGTTGGTTAGGAGAAGGGAGAGTATGCTCTCAGTCTCAAAAAGGGGAGGACGTCTATAAAAGCACTTCTCTGCAGGCTAGTTGATATACTCGCCATTGCAGCAGACAGTGGCTTTGGGCTTGTTCAGCAGAGTGAGAAACTTGGAATGCAAGAGTTAGAGGGGCACACCGTAGGGGGTTTGTTACAAGAATCTTTCTTGTAAGAGAATTCTGTGGTACTAGTTCTAGAGAGGCCTAGGCATCAAAGTGAAGATGAACTCGCCCCCTTTCCTTTTACTAAACCAAGGAAAATGATCTAACCCCATTTTCTACTCTAGCCAGAACGTCCTAGTCAAAAAGGAAAGACTGGAGACACAGACCCATCCTTGTGAGGACGAAAACAGAGGAAAGACTCGGTCAGTAGCAGAAGGGACCTGGCTGGCTCTTCCTAACTCTAGTAGTCGAATCTTTTGTACCCAATAAGTTAAGCAAAGCCTGGAGACGAACGCTTCACTAATTTGCGTGCAGGGCAGTAATCATGTGGAGTGTCTTTGGTGAATGTGACATTCTTCCACTCTCTTCACATATTTACCTCTTGTCTTTTACGGTTCATTTCCAGCATTTGCATCTTATGTAAATATTGTCTTTTCCCAGAAGTATACATTGGAATTTGCATCTTTTTTTCTAACTCCTGCCACAAAAGACGACACATTTGTTAGTATGAAGTCATTAGTTACTGATTCTGCCATCAACAACTTGAAATCCTTTTGGGGACAGAATGAGATCAACCCTCAATCATAATTCACAGAGATCTCTGGTGACATCACAGGCGGGCCATTGCAGTCCCCGATAAGTTCGTTGTGTGGCCATCAGCGAATGAAGTGGACATGTGCAGTGTGCGTGTTGTAGTTGTTAAGGTTCCTGGAGAGTCTTACAGACCTTGAACGGACATATCTTTTCACATCACATTTTAACATGTTATCACTTCCCCTGGGAATAGATGCCTATTACTTGCTTCCCAGAAATGTGTTCTGGTTCAGTGAGACCTGCCTCTCTCTCCCCATCTTTTCTACTACTGACTGATTGTCTGGCTGTGAACTTAGAGGGGAGCCACTGAGTGGTTAAGTGGGACCTATTTTTGTAGAGTGTTCCCCCACGTACCAATCTAAGCTCTGGTTATAGTGCAGCTCAGGAAGGACTTGAGGTTGATTATTTGTGACTTTGGTGCTCTTCCCCTGGTGAATCATAAGCTGCAGTGAGACCGTGCAGACAGGCAGCTATACAGGGGAACCGTGGGGTGCATGCATTCACCACCAAATGTGTCCGGTGACATTTCACGTTGCCCTGGGGACAGTGACTGTGTTCGCTGCTGTGAGCCTCAGAGAGGGCCCCTCTCCCCAGGTGCTGCCAGCATCACAGACACGGCCTGGAGGATCCAAAGTGCCTGGACACCTTCCACCAGGTGAGGCGGTGCACTGCAGCATCTCGCTGGCTCCAAAGTGAGTCAGGAGTGGCAAGTGTTGTGAATCTGCTCCCACCTCGAATTGTGCATTTTTACATGAGGGGAGTTTCCTCAGTAGAGGTGACATTTATAAAAGGGGAGAGCTCTACAGAAGGCCTTTTCCCGATTACTTTTTGGTGCATTTGTGGAAAACAGGTCAGGAACAACTCACAGATAGGATTTATCCTGAAAACTGAGAACAGAAAGAAAGATTCAGTCCGAGAGGAAGAAGTGAAAGAGAAGAGTTATGTTGGACTTTTCCACACATTTGAACACTTCTAGAATCACCAATTTCCAAGAGAAAGTCCTCTGTCTCATCTACATCTCCTCGTTTCACCTGGAAACAGGAAAGGGCCACAGGTTCCCCTGAGAGGCAGGAGCTGGTCCCAGATGGAAGCAGGCCCAGGAGAATAGCTTTGGAAAGTACGGATAGCTTTGGAAAGTTCTAAGCCTGAATGGCACATTAGTTTGATTTGCTGTGAAGTCTTCTGGGCAGGGAGTACATGAGAGGGACAGCCCCCCCCCCCCCTCCAGTTCACCACTGTAGTTCACCTTTGCTTTGTGAGTCGTCCTGGCTTCTTGCTGGCTCAGGATCCTTTCAGAAGTAATTACTTGTGGCAGGCCAATGGGTTCAAGCTTCTAGAAGTCCAACATTTAGAGTATTCAGCATTCCTCGTGCCATGAGATGATGAAACATAAAAGCCATGCATTAAACTATCTTAACACTTTGCAAAAGCAGCGCTTGCTCCTGAGAGGACACTGAGAAGGCGATTTCAACAGGATTATAGTCACATCTGTGCAAAAGGCTTTTCAACCTCTCTGGGTTCTTTATTGTTCTAGGGCACTGTTGTCAGTGACTTACTGATCTAAATATTGGTCGGAGAGTTAAAAGACTAAGAATCCTTTTCTATCAGCATTGAGGGACCACATCTGAAGTAATCAAACAACGAGGACTTTAGGGTATTAGAGATGAAAGGGGCACCAAGAAGTTACTTTATTTTATTCATCTCTTAACCACCCAGCTGAGCTCTTCTGTCCTATTTTTGAGGTCTCTGGAGAAGCTCCCTGAGCCTCCTCAGTAATAATCAGCAGTGCTTATGAAGCTGGTGCAAAATGAAAGTGCAGTGTGCTCACCAATTTTAGACATGACTGTTCCTAGCAAGGGCTTGGCTTTTATGGGGGAGGCAACATTGGAGTTTCCACGGGTCACTAAGACTGGGCAGCCATGGATGAACAGGTGGATCTGCCTCCGGCCCTATGTGCCTCCGATGACTTCTGGCTCCGGAAGCTAGAGCACTGGGCAGTGACTGAGGAAGCTCGGGACATAGAGGCTGCTCTGTTCACATTGACCTACAGTCAAGGACCTGGAGGGTCGCAGAGTTTATTTCTTCTCTCGGCGGGCACTTATCGCACAACGGCCACGGGCCAGGCGTGGGGGTACAGTGGTCCGGAAAAAAGGGCACGGTTCCCCACAGAGCTCACAGTCTATGGGGGGAGCAAACACACCTTTGCTCATGTGATTATGTGATTAAGAATTACATACTAATGAGTGCTTTAAAGAAAACGCCCACAGGGCAGGGCCATGACAACACACACCTGGAAGACGCCATCTCAGAAATGTGTGGGGGGGGGTGTGTTATGAGTTGAACTGTGTTCCTTCTCCCAAATTTATGTGTTGAAGTTCTAAGCCCCAGGAGCTCCGAATGTGACCTTACAGTGATCCCTCCTCACCTATTGTGGGAGTTATGTTCCAGAGACCCCCGTGATAGGTGAAAATCCGCAAAGTAGCGGCGTTATATTTATTTTATCATTTATATATATTTTAAGGCTTTATAAACCCTCCCCACTCTCTTATTAACCTTTCTCACACTCTTATAAACACTTCATATGCTCTTAAACACTTTCTACACTCTTAAATCTATGTAATTTTAACAACATGTAAAATTTTATATGGGTACTCACCAGTGAAGTATACAGTCATTCCTCACTATATCGCAGTTCACTTATTGCGGCTTCGCTGTATTGTGGGCTTAAAAAACCCCGAGTTACAATGAAGCCACAATAAGTAAACTCGATATAGTGAGGGATGACTGTATTGAGGAATAGGGTCCTTGCGGATACAAATAGTTAAGGTGAGGTTGTCCTGGAGTAGTCTGGGTCCTTAATTTAATATGTCAGTGTCCTCATAAGAAGAGGAATTTGGACAGACACACACGCAGGAGAATACCACGTGAAGATGAAGGCAGACATCAGGGTGATGCTTCACAAGACAAGGAAAGCCAAAGGCTGCCAGCAAGTCCCCAGGACCTAAGAGGAGGCATGGGACAGGTCCTTCCTCATAGCCCTCAGAAGAAACCGTCCCTGCCAACACCTTGGCATCAGACTTCTAGCTTCCAGAACTGTGAGACAATGCATTTCCGTTATTTGAAGCCACATGATTTGCTATACTTTATGAGTGTAGCCCTAGAAAATGAATACAATGAGAAGACAGGTGAGGAAACCAGCCACAGAAATTTCTGAGGAAGCAATCTTTCAGCAGAAGTTAGCAGGTTGGCAGTTTTAAGGAAGAGAGAATGGCCCCGAGGTAGGAGGGTGCGTGAGCTGTTCAAGGAACTGCAGGAAGTCAGTTGGCTGCAGCTGGAGAGTAAGAGCAGCTCAGAGGAGGCTGGAGTCGGAGGCTGGAGTCGGAGGCTGGGGCCAGCTCATGCCCCGCCTGATGAGGGAGTGAGTATCAGATGTTAGTTTTCTTAAGACCATGGGCAGCCATTGGCATGTGCTCAGCAAAGTAGTGACGTGATTACATTTGCTTTCAGCAAACAATCACTGTGGCTGCAGTGTGGTAACTAAACTAAACTAACAAGAGCAGTCGGGAGGACAAAGATGACTGGCTGAGATTCATGGAAGGATGTAGGTGGGCTCCACAAACATTTAACACCAGCCAAACAGGATTCATGATGGTTGGTAAGGTGGAGTGAAGCCTTACAGATGACATTCAAGTATAAGGGACAGATAGTGTTACCCATCCCTGAGACAGGGAACTCTAGAGGAGGACCAGGTTTGGGTGGAACACAGCAGGGAGAAGCCAATTCGATTCAGAGCAGGTTGCGTTTGGGAAGCCTTTGAGACGGCCGCGTGGGTGCTGAGTAGGTGCACAGAGAGACAGGAACGGCACTCGGAGGACGGGTCTGTGCAGAAGATGCATGTGTGGGGATTGTTCCTGGGTAGAGAAAACCTGAAACCACAGTCATGGGCAAGGTCAGGAGTGAGAAGAGCAGAGCCAATAAGCCCAACACTGAGGGGCCATTGAACAGGGACAAAATGGCCAAGGACACTGAGAAGTGATGGCTCAGGAAGCAGGAGGAAACCAGGACACCACGCTGCTGCAGCAAACGTGTGAGCAAAAATCCCTCAGTCCAACACGAGAAGCAACTGAGAATACATGCATTTTACAATCTTTTTCACTGCAGTCAGGTTTGTTGTGTTATCAAGGGGTAGTCCTGGAAGTCAGTGTGGCTTTCAAGGGTGAAAAAAGAGAGAGGGAGGCTGCTGAGCATCCAGCACTCACAGTGGGGAGCATGACATTCCTGTCCCCCTCTCCCCCACTACCTATGGAACAGTTTCCTGGACCCTTGGCTTGGCCTGAACCGTTCTCAGGAAGGCAGCCAGCATTTCTTCCTGCTAGTGCAGTCTAACATGAGAAAGTGTTGTTGTTTGCTTGTTTATTTGTTTTTTTTATCATAATGACTTATCAAGGAGGTAACGAGAGGTGACCAATACTACTTAGAGAGGTTTGTCTGAGGCTCTCTTCTCTGCAGAACATTAAGGTACAGAGCAAATGGGACCTGGTACATAGGAAGAAGCAGCTGGTCCTGAGGGGGATGGAGTAGAAAAGGAAGGAGAAGGGGGACCAAGAGCAAAGGAATATCCAGGCACGAACAGAATGGAGAATCAATAATGACCAAGGAGAAATTTGAGGTTGAAGAAAGAACAAGGAAGTATTTATACTGTCCCCTGGCTTGGTTCATGATTCGGTTCTTTCTGGTGATTAGGCCCATATGCCTGAGAGGCCACTGCTGTCCGTCATGCCCAGGTCACAGTACGTTGTCTTATTCGATTATCATGGGAGCCCTATTAATGATTATAATGATTCCCCATGTCAGAGAGGTTAATAACGCGTCCAAAGATGAATAGCTAGTAAGTGGCAACTCAGGATTGAAGCTCAGGTCTGTCCAGTCCTGAATTTCATGCTTTTTTCTTTACTTTTTCCTGTACCTGGTTTTATCATTAGAAACTCTGGAATTAAGAAAATCCTGTGCCATTCATTGGGGATTGAGATTCAATAGGTCTGGGCTATGTCCTGGCAAAAAAACCAAAACCCTCATATATATATATATATAGTATATACACTTGTATGTATAGTTAATTAATATGCTTTATTTTTAAAGCATATTTGGGTTCACAGAAAAAGTAAGCAGCAAGTATAGAGTTCTCATATACCTTCTGCACCTAAATCTATCATCAGCACCCCTCACCAGAGTGTGCATTTATTACACTTGATAAACCAACACTCACACATCAGCAGCATCAGCAGCAGCATCCAAAGTCTTTAGTTTACATTGGGGTTCACTCTCAGTGTTGCCCATTCCAATGAGTTTGGACAAATGTATAATGACATGTATTTACCATTGTAGTATCATATAGAGTGGTTATATTACCCCCCAAATCCTCTGTGCTCTGACTACTTATTCGTCCCTCTTTCCCTCTTTACTCCTGGCAACCTCTAATACTTCTATTGCTGTCTCTATAGTTTTACATTTTCCAGAATGTCACAGAGCTGGAATCAAATAGTATGTAGTCTTTTCAGATTGGTTTCCTTCACTTAGTTTTTGCCATGCCTTTTCATGCTCAAGAGCTTGTTTCCTTTTAATGCTCAATAATATTTCATTGTCTGGATATATCACAATTTATTTCTCCTTTCACCTACTGAAGGACATCTTGATTGCTTCCAAGTTTTGGAAATTATGAGTAAAGCTGCTATAAACATCCATGTGCAGATTTTTATATGAATATGAGATTGTAGTTCATTTGGGTAAATGTCAAGGAGTGTGATTGCCAGATTATACGCTAAGAGTATGATTACTTTTGTAAAAAATCTTCCCACGTGGCTGTACCATTTTTGCATACCACTAGCAATGGATGGGTTCCCAGTTCTCCACATGCTCATCGGCATTTGGTGGTGTTAGTGTTGCGGACTTTGGCCATTCCAATATATATATGCAGTAGCATTTCACTGATGTTCTAATTTGCAATTTTCCAATGACATATGATGTTGAATACCTTCTTACATGCTTAATTGCCAGTATATCTTCTCTTATATTCTCATTTTCTTGATACCATCTTTCATAAAACATAAGTTCTTAATTTTAATAAAGTCCAGTTTATCAATTGTTTCTTTGGAATATATATTTTTCAAAACTCTCCAGTGAATTCTGATCATTTCCTAGGTGGGGTCCACTGGCCTCCACACTGTTTGAACTGAATGGAGGAGCCACGTCCAAATCGACCAGAGTGCATTTGTTTGTGGAGCATTAGTGAAAAACTGAGTCTGAAGAAGCCAGCTATGTCAATATTTTCAGCTA